TTGGTCATCAGAATTTGTTATATAAGGATATTTTTTAGACAGACGTGAACGCAGATAAAATGTAAGCAGACTGTACGGTACAAAAGGTGTCAAAAATAACAATTATATGAGAAACTTCGAATTAAATATCCACGCAGTAATTACTTGCCCTTTTCGAATCGCGCGCTTTCAGAATGCATCCTACGGCCGATCGTCACTGTAAAACAGTTTCTAGGGCAGTTTAAGTGATTACTAGCATATTAAGAAAAGAATGGCTCCGGGGACTCAGTCTGTATTTCAGCGGTTTGTTCACGGGTTCGAGGTTGGGGGCCCCAGTCACCCGGATCCATTCAGTCTGTCCGTTCCGATGTCAGCGGTTTTCTGTTGACCTAGAAGGCAGTCATTGAAAACAGGGTGTAGCACCGCTCTTGGGGGTTACAGGAAATACCGAGAACAGAGTTAAATACTAATCTAGCAAAGCAGTAAAATACTAATCTAACAACTTCTTGGGTAAGTGATAATCTAATAACGCTTCTAAGCGGTCCCTAGTAAAACAACTAACATCCTCCAATGAAAGGTCGTTCCAGTGGTTGATGACCCTATAAGAGAAGAACTGTTGCCTAAGGAAGGCTCGGGGTCGAAGCCTATAGAGCTTCTTGTCGTGACCTCTTCGACTGTTATCAACGGCTGTGGTGATGAACTGGTGCACGAGTCCTGTGCTGAAAGAATAGTGCGTGAGGAGTAAGTCACCGCAGAGTCTTCGAAATTCAAGTGGATAAAGATCAGGAATTTCAAGAAGAGACTCGTAAGAGAAATGCCGCAAGCTAGTAGCCATTTTGGTGGCTACACGCTGGACACGCTCGATGGCGAGTATGTCCTTCTTCAAGCCGGTGTATACGATCTGATTTGCGTACTCGAGCAATCGTCTTATACAGACCCCGTGAAGCAATTGAAAAGCATGTCTGTCTATTCGAGGGAAGGCTGTTTTTATCATCTCAAGAGTTCCAAATCCCTTTCTGGCTGCCATCTGGTGGTGATAAACTGGTCAACAGCCAAACCTCTAGGTCTTTTTTAGGTCAACTTTCGCAATATTTATTACACTGTGTGCACCATGCATCACGAAGAGGTTCCCCGAGTCTCCTCCAAGCGACATATGTACACACTTACTGTCGTTTAGAGAGAGACTGCAGTCTTCTGACCAGCTCTTAATACAGCCGAGGTCAATTTGCAACGCACTGGAATCAAAAGCATTCCAGATTTTCAAACCGTCAGCATAAAGGAGGGTATTGCTAGAAATATGTTCGGGAGGTTCATTGATGTATACTGGAAAAAACAACGGACCGAACACGGATTCTTGAGGAACTCCAGCGGAGATCGGGGAAGGAGAAGAAAGGTCCGGTCCGGTTTTTATCCTAAAAGCTATGTTATCAAGAAAGGATGTAATCCAGCGAAGAACCTCTCGTTGGATCCCATAGGTTTCTAGCTTATGTACAAGAGGACCGTGTGGGACACGATCAAATGTCTTAGCAAATCGAAAACGATCGCATCCGAAAACTGGAGATGCCGGGGTTCGAACCTGGGGCCTTTCACATGTAAAGCAAACGCTCTACCACTGAACATCCTTGCAGCCGTCCATGTTAACCGCTACTGGCTGCTATAGTGAAGGTCTGCTTTACAAGACCTGGTTTGAATTAAGTTCAGATCGAGGCTCGCACAATCCAGTCCTTAACCTGGTGACCAGGATAACAATCGCTCGCTTAACAGGCTCAATAGCGAATATATTTTCCTTCAAACCGGGCTACACATCTTGATTAACGGATTCGAATAAGGACCTTATATAAAATTCCTGTCTCAAAATGCTCCCGGTTATGCTTCCTCAGTGCGCTTAATCATAAAATAATCGTGAATCCCATTTTGCGGCCCTCCCGCAATGATACACGAACGATGGGCCAGCTAGCATCTGGGTATATAGATCTTGCTCCATATCAATTTCCGTGGTATCTGCACGTCCGAGGGCACTACGAATCACGAGCGCATTGTCAGAGTCCTAACCGAGCGACTTGTGTGCACACCTGTTGCCTTGTAGAGGGTGGCGCCGATCATCAGGCCACAGTTTAGTCGCTCCTAGTTCGGCCTGTAGTACAGTGGATTCACCGGCATTCTGGTATTTCAAATTGCCAGCACGGAAAAGTGCGCTACTGGAAGTATTCCTCGAAAGGTCGTCGATGTAAGTAAAAGATAATCGAGAAACAGTCGATGATCCTCAGAGAACTCCAGCAAAAATCAAAGACACAGGTGACAAGTAAATATCAAAGTAAATTTGGTGTGAAATGCAGTGCAAACTCAACGTGGTAGGGAATTACAAATTCATCTATATCTCCTGAACCACGTAAAACTGAGCGTTTTTACAACAGAGAATTAAGTATTTCACAAAGAAACTATCGATGGAAGCATTTTAACAACACAAAATCGACTAAGGTCTACATGATACTGCGGTTGCTTGGGGCAAACTCCGGTCTGCCTGCTGTAAGATGTATACAATTTTTCCAAAAATCTTAGTTCACATTGTACATATGGTCGTTAGGATCTACGTCCGCCGTCCGCTTGCAGCGTGCCATGGCGTTTGGCCGTTTGCATGCTTGTCGATCTGTGCGCGAGAACGGCGCCACACACACTTTCGGTTGCTCGCACTGTCGACGGTTGGATCTTTAATCTCTTTAGCTGCTCTCGTGCATCGGTGTCGTTAAGTATTAGTTAAGACCTATTGCACTTGTCATATAGTAAACATTCGGTCTCTCAGTTATTCGTATTCCCAATTCGCGTTCAGTACCTTTTGCGTAGCATTTATTTAATGCGCGCTTGCGCTAATTTTGATCTTGTGAGTCATTTTATGAAGCGTGGCTGCATACTCTAATTGGATGCTTCTTAGTGCTATATGGGCCGCGGCCAGAATACGCCAGCCCCGATTTCTTTGTACCAATGCATCTTGAATCACTGACATTCTTTAGCTCATGAGGAGCATTTGCGCGATCGGTCAGAGACTTTGGCTGTACATCTGATGGTGTCGAATTGTATTTCACCATTGTACTATACTTCCGGCATTCCGCACCGCTTTAACTGTGCTATATATTTGTTTCCTAATAGTAATCCCTTTACTTGCTGGTCTTCGTCGTTTAGTTCTTATTCATCCAGCTTCGCACACTGTCCACCTCGTGTTCATTTGTTTTATTCTTTCCACGTGACCATTACAACGGAGACTGCTAGTCGTTCATTTGGACATTGTTGTTTGGCCTGTAGTTGAATTCGTGAACTCAAACGTGATTGATTTGGGTTTATTTAGTTGATGCGTGTAATCGGTAGAACGTGAATATCTCCGTTATCTTTTAATTAAAAAATAATTCGTAGCCATTAAAGTTGTTGAAAAGTTGTGATATGTTGCAGAATCAAAAATCTCAAAAATCGGTTCCCTAGAGATTTCTTCGTTTCAGTCTTCCGAAGACGTGAACAAGAAATGAGCGGTTGTTTAATGTCATAGGGATTAATGTAAAAATAACGCAGAGTCGCGTTCTACGTTACTTCGGAAATACAAAGTTAAAATATAATGAAAATCGACGTCATAGACGTGGAAACACATGCTTTTATTTAAATTTCGATATGATTAAGCGGGAAAGCGTGATTATAATTTCCACAATCAAACTGTTGTTGAAACATGAGTACTAAGCTTTTTATAATACTACAAATGTGAGAGATGCCCATAACCTAATTCAACGTAGGACAATTCACCACTCGTTGGCACTACTGTTGTTAACTTTTCCTTGGAATCAGGATGTATGCTGTAATGGAAACAAGGTGAACTACTGAAAGAACACTCCCAGCAATTCGCCGGGATGGTGCTTCAAGGCCGAAGTGAGTTGAAAACGGCCATTTAGGGACGAAAAGAGATTTTTTAAATTTTTCATGAAATATTAAAACGCATTTAGCGGGACAAATACACATATCTTATGGAGTATAATGAAAGCGTTGCGATGAGAAAAAACAGCTATACGTAAAAATTGTCCATAGCTGCACTTTTGTTGGGAAAAATGTGTTGACATTTTTTTCAACAAAAGCATCATGTTGGCTTTCCTCATCGACTGTACGTCCTGAAAATGCTTCCATCAAAATTTTCGTGGTAGAATACATAACCTGTTTAACAGAAACTCTCAATTCAGCGTGGTTTTGTAGATATGATTGAATTTGTGATCCTCGACAACGTTGCGTTTACATTGCATTATACACGAAATATCAGAGTAATTCCTAATTAAAGCTATGCCGCCACGGTCGCTGCTTAATTATTCACCTGAATTATATGTTCAGCTTGATTCCTTTTTAATATTTCCAGTGGAAAAAGGTCTACGTTTTCACCTGGTTGTTTCTACCTACGGTATTGTGTAGACATGGATAACACGTCCCACTCTATCAGTAACAACGTGCGTATTGTTTTGTTTATTGACTATTCTTGAATTTAGCTTGCCACGCGTACGCGAGTCAGTGCTTATTTATCTGACAGATAATGACCAAATTTGATATTCATTATTTATTCGACGAAAACGTTGATTCCCACTTCCACCACTTCAGCTACAACCCTCCTATCTTCGTATCACGGACGATTATGATTCCGATGACAGTTGGTCGATGATTTCGTCGGCTACAGACTTCACTGACGGCTGCCAGTATGTCACCTCATTTTTGACCAGAACTGAAGGAGATCATTACAACTTATGCCCAACGGTCTAAATACACGTACATTCTGAATTCTCCCGATTTCTGCTTATCAACGTTGATCATAAGTTAAGTGAACTGGACAGGGGAGTTACTTGTGTGAAAGCATACTACATAATTGGGCGTTGATCAAAGCTTAAGTGAACTGGACGGGGATATTACTTGTATGAATGCTAACTATATAGTTAGGCGTTGATCATGGCTTAAGTGAACTGGATGGGGCAGTTACCACTGTGAACGCATACCACATACTTGGGCATTGGTAATGGTTGACGTCAACTAGACGAAGCAGTTGCTAATGTGAACGCATACCACATAATTAGGCGTTGATCATAGCTCAAGTGAACTGGATGGAGCAGCTACTAGTTGGAACGCATACTGCATACTCAGGAGTTGATCATAGCCCAAGTGAACTGGACGGAGCAGCTACCAGTGTGACCGCATACCACCTACTTAGGCGTTGATCACAGCTTAAGTGAATTAGATGGAGCAGCTATTAAGGTCAACATATGTGACATAATTCTCCGTTGATCATAGCTCAAGTGGACTGCACGGAGCAGTTACTAGTGTGAAGGCATACCACCTACTTAAGCGTTGATCATAGCTTAGGTGAACTGGATGGACCAGCTACTAGTTTGGACGCATACTACATACCCGGGCGTCGATCATAGGTTAAGTCAACTGGACGGAACAGTTACTGACATGAATACATGAGACATGCTTAGACGTTAATCATAGGTTAAGTCAACTGGACGGAGCAGTTACTAGCATGAATACATGTGACACGCATAAACCTTCATCACAGGTTAAGTCAACTGGAAGAAACGATTCGAGCGTTTAACTCTGTCCACCCTAATCTGTCAGTCACAGTTGAGTACGAAGGTAAGAACAGTTTGCCCTTCTTGGACATCCTGGTTAGACGCCATTCGGAAGGTTCGATCGAACGTTCTGTGTACCATAAGCCAACATGGATGGGACAATACATGAGTTTTGCTCCTGTCACATACAAAAGGTCTTTAGTACGCACACTGTTTCACAGAGCATCGAGAATATGCTCCCAAGACAGATTACGAACCGAGCAAACAGTGTTGTATGAAACGCTTCGTGCTAACAATTTCCAGAACGTTTCATTCAGATGTGGAGCAAATTTACTCCTGCGAAAAATACAACTTTGGACGTCCCCAAAAAAGATATTTACATCAAACTCCTCTTCAAAGGAGACAGTCTGTTGACCACCTTTGGTAAAACGATCAGCGCCGCGCTAAAACGGATGTATAATGCAGTAAAGCTTGTCATACCCTCACATACCACTAGGTTACCTCTACCCTCGGTCAAAAAGCAAGTCCCTATGTTTTTCAAGTCATTGCATCTATCAGTTTTCCTGCAGTTGCGGAAACACATACATTGGTAGAATAGAAAGGATGCTTGAAACCAGGGCCAAGGAGCACATCCCAAACTGGTTGAGAGTTGCAATGTCTGACCCTCCAATGAGTGACACTCAGCGAGGATGAAACGCCGCTTCATCCATTGCGAAGCACTTATCGACTACAGGTCGCAGTGTCAACACCGCATCTTCGTTTAAGATCTTTATGAACGCTGACAACTTCTCAAGTATATTGAAGCTCTGTTGATCAGCCGTCAACAGCCGGTCCTATGTGCACAAAAACAACTGACTTTCAACCTTCGTTTACCGTGGGTTGACCGTGAGTGCCAATCACGATCCAGCGTAATTTGTACTGTTGACCGTTTCATTTAAGTCTTGTTTGGTTTTGCTTTCATGTTAGTCACACGTTTACGACTTACGAGAGTGTGTGAAATGATTTCATATCGTGATTTGTGTCTTCTGACTAGTCTATTCAAA